TGAATGCAGATGAGGGCTATACCCGAGAGTACCTGAGAGAGAGATTATATACTCACATGGCTAAGGGTTCCGAATCCATGCATAACTGAGTCCGATCGACTAAGAACGAGTAGAAGTCACGGAGAGCGGGAGCGAGTCCCGGTCATGCCCTCGGTAAGATGGGGTCGTGACTTACTAAAGAGGGTTAGTAGAAAAGAGTTATAAGAAAGAGAAACAGAGAGAGAAACAGAAAGAGAAAACAGGGAGAAGTATAAAAGAGAGAGTAAATGAGAATTGTCAGGAAAGACTTAGAGAGAGAGAGTTACGGGGATAGATGGCTAAAGGGTTTACTTACTGAGCATTATTTGTGCTCACCCGGTTGTCTTTCTGTGTTTTTGCAGGATTTAGGTGAGAACACGGTCAGATGGACGTCGGCAAGCGAGGAGGAATGGCTACACTGTCTATATAGTTTTTGATAGTTTTTATTTATGATACTAATTTTGTATTAAAAAAAAATGTATATGTTTAATAAAAGAAAAATTTGGGCCCAATTACTTATGTTATTATACATGTATTTTATTATATATATTTTTATGAGTATTTGAGTAGGAAGTAGTTATTACAAGCAGCAAGCTGTCGATTTTCTTCTTGAATAGTTTCAAAATTGTTTAAAACTTCTTTATCATTTTTCCTTTTAAATTTTGTTTTTTTCACCCCAATAGGTCGTTAAGCTAAACTACCCCCAATATTTTCATCATTTATGTTTAGAGAATTTGACGACATGTCACAAGACACCGATTGGGGAGACTTTGAAGTGGGAGTCTCTGATTCTTGTGATACAAACCTACCGGTTTGCCTTTGAAATACTTCTGTGGCATTAACATTATCTGTAAATTTTTCAATATCCTTAAGTATAGGCCACACATGATCAAATATGAAACCTTTCTTGTAACTTTTATCTTGTGCTAGTAACATTTTGGCTTGAATCATCTACAAAACAATATGCATATAACGTTAAAATCAATTAGATAAAAAAGACTTGTTAATTAAATGTAACAAATACTCACAATATCTTGCTCAGAAGCACTACTTGGATTCATATTTTCAATTTGACGTCCGCATTCCCTTAATTTGCCAATAGCTTTAAAGATCAGTTGCATTCGATAATGCAAAGATCTTTTGTTTTGAACCTGAGTGAGAAACACGGGTTTGGAACTATTGTAGTCAAGCTCAACTCGAGACCAGAATTGATCACTAGATTGGTTTATACCTAAAGATCTTTTGTTTTGAACCTGAGTAAGAAACACGGGTTTGGAACTATTGTAGTCAAGCTCAACTCGAGACCAGAATTGATCACTAGATTGGTTTATACCTAAAATCGGGTTTTGAGAAATATCGAGATAAATATGACATAGATACATGTCTTCTTCATTTGTGTACAAAGAACTTAGTTGTGTAGTCATTTTGTAACAAAAATAAAGAAGATATATGCTTTTTTTTTTCTAAGAGGAAATAGAAGAGATGTGTTCAAAACTAATGTATTGTCTCTTTTATAACATAAGTTTGAATTGAAAGTTTGAATGGACAACACATCTTTTTGAGCTTGAATGAACAATAGATCTTTTGAAATAAGCTACAAATTTAAAAAGCTTGAATGGATAATACATCTTTTTGAATAAGTCATAAATCTCAAAAGCTTGAATCGACAATACGTCTTTTTGAATAAGCCACAAATCTCAAAAGCTTGAATGGACAATACATCTTTTTGAATAAGCCACAAATCTCAAAAGCTTGAATGGACAATACATCTTTTTGAATAAACCACAAATCTCAAAAGCTTAGATAGACAATACATCTTTTTGAATTATTATTTTGTATCTAGAATAGTATTTTCTTCAACTATAAAAGCTCACACCAAATCAATTTCCAAATCGTTCAACTAATATTTTATTAAATAAATGCTTAATTTTATTAAATTAGTATAATTTTCAAAGTAATTATTATTTAATAAAAATATCATTCATAATATTTAATTAATATATACAAAAATAATGAGTGAAATAGATTAATTGTTGATTATTACAATAAAAGAAAAAAATAATTCTTTTTAATCTAATATTTGGTGAGTGGATTGGAGATGCAATAGTGTTTTATTGCAAAAATCACACCAATTTGGTGCAATGGTTGGAGATGGTCTTAAGCGCTATTGTATAGTGAACTAGGAAATAGTAATAATACTAGGCTAACCATCACTATGATCAATTGTCCATGATGGATGTTGGATGACTCAAGGATAACATACACTCACTACATATTAATGTAGCAATAAATAAATAAATAAAAGAAAAAAGTAAAAATCAATTACTAAAGACAATTAATGAGATAGTAAAAGATGGACCCATCAATAATTTCAAAATTATTTTCTTGTATTGAACATGAAAATGAAATGCATTCGAGAGTGCATTACTTTTAGCAGCTCCATAGCTAAAGACCCATCGAGTAAATACTTCATGGCTGTCATTTGTCAATCCATTTTGTCTATATTTTTACTAATCCAACTCCTAAGGCAATAACCATAGCTTTACTCTTAATTCTACAGTTTACTCCGACTAAACTTTGATCATATACATGCAATAATATAATCATGGAACAAGATACTTCAAGTCAAATTTATCAAAAGATGATCAAAACATATTTCCAGATTAAGAATGAAGGAATGATGCAAGCAATCTCGGATTTATGGAGCAAATGACTTAATTTCAGAGATGGTTTATGTTCATAGCAATATCAAACATGAAGCAAACACATTAACTACTAGTATTATTACACCGTTCATCTTTGGATAATATAATTCCAAAAAAAAGTTGCCTCAATCTCACAATGCACAATAACAAAACATAAAGGTAGATCATTAATATAATAAGCTCAATTCCCTAATGCCGCAGTCAAATCCACCCAAGAGGCCCATCACACCGAGTACTCACACCAGCCATCACATTTCACATCAAATCAAGAGCTTTTCAATGGCATCCTGCATTTCAAACACACACACAAAACACAAACTCAGAAAACAAACACTAACTCTTGTTTTGATACAACTAAACAAAACACCAAAATTAACTACCTTGAGTTGTTGAATTTGTGTTTTCAATTGGCTGGCTTCATTTGATGTGACAGAGCAAGCAATCACTGGTCTTGTGACACCACACGCTCGTCCGAGAGCCTGCTTTGAAGGAACAAACACATACGGCACATTCTGCCACATTCAAAGAAAGGGGTTAGTTTGGTTTCAACTCAAATTATAAAAGTAATAAAAAACCTCACTGAATCTGAAAGCCACCTTGTCTTCCGCAAGCAGGGGAAGATGCAGAAGGATCTCGAGAGGCTCCGTATCGGCAGCCATCACAATGAACTCGGAGATACCTCTGTTAAGGGTCTTGGTTGCTTCATTAGCACCCTTTTTGAGCTGCTTGTAGTTGGCTGCTTGTTGAACAAGATCAAGAATTGTAATGGTCAATTGTGAATCTGCCAGTGGGTATGCTTTCGGGTTCACTGCTTCTACTGTCTGCAAAATTCAATTACAACACATAATCAGTGAATAGATCATGTCAAAATCAAATTAATTAATCATTTAATCGAAGATTACCATTTTTGTAAGTCGAAGGAGGCTAGGGTTTTTGTTGGGGACGAATGAGGAGCACAAAAAAATCTAGGGTTTAAGAGAGGAGAGAGATTGAATAAAGATCGAGGGGATGATTTATAGAGGTTAAAGAAACAAGATAATACGGCAGCGTTTTACTACTAAATATTAGAGATCGATAGAATATATGTTAGAAAATCTTATATTGAAAGAGTAAACACATATTCCCACTCAAGGTTTGATGAAATCCCAGTTGGTACCTCAAGTTATATTTATTTCAATTCCCACCCTTAAAGTGATGAAAAAATATTGGATGTAACAATAAAGGGGTAAATTAGTCATTTTACATGGGCAGCGCATATTAGTAGACCACCACCTCTTACAGCCCTCCGACGCACGTTAGTAGACGGCGTTCCTGATGTTTTTCGCTCTTTTTTCAACGATTCTTCCATCCAAAATCACTTTTGTCACCACCATTTGAACTCTCATCTTCCCCTTTACAAAATCATACCCTTCACAACCCCTCATCACTCGCTGATCGTAGGCCATGGCAGTTGAGGTAGCTGACTGGTTTTTGTCGATTTTCAGCCTTTTTGAACGGCGACAACCCCAACCACCACCACCATTTGACTCCTCGCATCCTCCCCTACAAAACCTCTAACCTTTCTAGCCACGAAAACTCACCGTTTGTCGTCCACCACTTCACCAAAAAAGGGTCGATGAACATGAACTCTCGGCCGACGAATGACTATAAAACGGTTGCTAGGCACATAGGGGTTTTATAGATTTGGAGACGGTGGTTGCAGTGATGATGTCCAATTGGATTTTCGCCGTTGGAATCTGGCGAAGGACACCAAAACCCTAAGCCTAACGACTTTGGCCATTGGAGGGGCCAATGAGTCGGGAACCAGAGAGGTTTTGGACGGCGGACTACAGGGAAGGTGATGGAGGTGACTAGGGGGTTCGACGTCGTTAGAAACAGCCCAGATCGAGCTATTTCTGACGAGGGTGTGTAGTGACCAAGGATGTTTTTGATATAATTTGAAAATAAAATGGTAGGTTTTATAATTATACTAATTTAGGGGTTAAAACATAATTTATCAATTTAGGGTTAAGGGCATTATGATAATTGCATCTTTTAAACCCTAAAAATTGATAACACCTGTTATTTTAACTTTTAAGGGTGAAAATCTAGAATAAATATAATCTGGGATACTAACTTTGAATTTCGTCAAACCTTGGGTGGGACTATGTCGTTTACTCTATATTAAAACACAAAAAAACAGATGGCGAAGCATTAGTGCTGGTGCCACGCACAAAATCTGAAAACGGGGTCCACGGTCGTAATTCGAAGAACTCAACAAACGAGCCTTTGACTTTCCTATAAATGCCAGCCAGCATGACCATGAAATTGAACTCGAAAATCAGAGAAAGAAAAACATGGGTTGGATTGGAATTGGAGAAAGCGTCCGATCCCTGAATATCAAACAATCTCTCTTTCAGCTTATCACTCTTGGTTAGCTTCATCTTTTCTATTCCTTTTTACGTCTTTCATGCTTGCAACTTTAATTTCTTTGTTTAATAATACTAAGCAAGCAGTTGACATTTTTTTTTTCTTTTCTTTCAATGTTTGATGACTATCTAGATATAGATTTAACCTAGTGTTATTTGTTGAGTCTGAGTATAATATTGGATTCTCACTGTGTTTGTTAGGCATGATAGTTTCGTCAGCTTTGATGCTATGGAAAGGTTTAATATGTTTAAGTGGAAGCGAATCGCCTATTGTAGTTGTGCTCTCCGGAAGTATGGAACCTGGCTTTAAAAGAGTGAGTCATTAATTATTATTTGCATTAACATTTGTTTTACCAACTTAATAATCTTGATTCGTATCCAGACTGGTGCCAACTTCATTTAACTCAAAATATTTCCTTTTTGAAATCAAGTCGGTCGCAGGTTTATGACTAAATTATCTTCAGGAGCTGAGTTAAAAGATAACCTCAAGTATGCTTATTTCCATGCCACATATAGCTTTGCATTCACAAATTTAACTCCTTAATTTTTTTTTTTTCCTACATGGTTAATTAATTAATTCTGCTTTCTTATTGAAAAATTGGCATTACCTGCCAGCTTATATCGCATTGGAAGAGGAAAGAGCATTGTTCTTTTTATATGACATATGAATCTGCACTCTTTTGCTACCTAATTATCAGAATAGCCTTTTAATTATTTTGCAGGGCGACATTTTGTTTCTGCATATGAGCAATGAACCCATTCGTGCAGGAGAAATTGTTGTGTTCAAAGTACAAGTATGTTGTTTTATTCAGTTATGAGTTCCTATTTCTTTTACATGATTTTTTTTTCAATCATCTTAATTTGTTCTTAAAGAATTGTTAAATCATCCCTTTCATCATCAAGCTATCTTCTTTATTTGATTTTCTCTATATTTGATTGTTAAAATTCAGTACTTCTGTGTGTTTTGAAAATAATCTTCTTGTTACATGGCATTGTGGTTGTCAAAAAAAAATTTGCTTTTATGTTTTTGTATCTCTTGACTGAAAAAATGTGGCTATTAGAGTACTTCACATTGAAATTCTGTTCTTCATTTCCTTTCGGACGTTGAAAGCTTACCCGGTATACTCTTACCTTTTATTTATATTTACTGTTATCTTCATCTTTTCCCCCCAGAATAAAAGCTTTTGATGACTGTGTTTCTTCATAACATTAGCTACTTGAATTCACATAATAATTGCTCTTGTGAGCTTACTCTTATTTTTCTCATTAATATCACAAATCCATTTGCATTATATTATTTTCATCAGTAGTTCTCCATGCGGTTTTTACTCGCTATTAGCTTATGTATATTGAATATTTGTCCTCGTGATATTTGTTTTGCTAATCTATGTTTTCCACAATGTTTTAGGGTAAACAAATTCCAATTGTCCATCGAGTTATTGAGGTAATAATGGTGGATACTTCATTTGTTTGAAGTCTTTTTTATGCTTAATAATGAAAAAAGGGGTAAAGGGAAACTATCACTATTTACAATGGAAATCTCAGGCAGAACCTAGGATATTTTGAACCTCTTAAGCTTCCGTACTGTTTGCTTTCGTCCAATAATGGCAGAGCCACATTGGAGGACACGGGGTGGTTTCTTGGAAAACAAAAAAAATTATATAACTCCTCTGAATCCTTGACAGTTTACACTATGAGGGTTGGTGAAAGGGCGAGAAAGTGGTGAAAGGAGGAAGATTATGCATGAATACCTTATGATATGCCTTAGATGACTTATGTTTCTGATTAGGTTTTTACTTCCCTAAGATTCTGACTTTGATATTTAATGATTCACATATCTGTTAGTACTCTTTATATGATTTATTTTTAGGTTCATGAGCGGCAGGAGATGGGAGAAGTTGATTTACTCACAAAAGGTATAATATTTTTCATCTTGAGATAGTTGATTGTTGCTAAGTTTAATTTCATTATTGTTGTCAAAAGTTATACATACATATTTACATATATCTATATAGATATGAAGGATGAAAGCAAACATAATTTTTGTGAGGTCATAATGGAAGAGCGCTAATGTTCTCATCTATTGATTGGATGCTTTAATCAGGAGACAGTAATCCAAGCGATGACAGGATGTTATATGCTCGTGGACAGTTTTGGTTAAAAAGACAACATATCATGGGGAGAGCCGTTGGGTAACTTAGCATCTACTAACAAAAAACTATATGGATCTCTTCTGCCTCTGATGTATCTTGATGTTGTTCAATTCAATGTCTTCTCTCTCCAGGTTCCTGCCTTACCTTGGTTGGGCAACAATTATCATGACTGAGCAGCCCATTATCAAGGTTACATTTGTTGAAATTTTAAAGCATCTGCAATGGCATCTTGATTCTTTTATTAAAATATTACTCTCTTAAAATTGCTTCAAATCATGCATTTTCTTTATGACATTTTCTTTTTTTAATTTTTTACACTGAACAATTACGAAAAGTTATAAACTTAATTTTTTTTTTTTTTTACGCTTGCAGTACATACTTTTAGGCGTGTTGGGTTTGCTGATCATAACCTCAAAGGATGAGAGACACAAGTTTTCAGCTGCCAAGACATGAATCAGATCCCACATAAGATTTTCTTATTACAACGGAGAAGAAGATCTAAGTTACACTTTACATGTTCAATTGACATAGATTTCTTTTCTAGCGTCCTGTACCATTTTGTAGGCCGGCAATCACATAAATAGAATGTATTTTATTTGTCAACAATACATTGTTGTTTCAGATGATTACTAAAACATAAACCCTGCCGTGTTGGGACTTGTTATGATTGGTTGTATACATTCTAATTTCTTCCTGGTCTAAAAAGTAAATTTCGTACCTTTATTTTATACCTTTGGGTTGACATTGATGGACGGTCTTCACAAAGTTGGAACAATTCATTAACATTAGGGGCGAAATGAGGTTGGCCATTCCAAACCAGTCCCTGAGAACCCTAAATGGTTTGGTCTTTAATTGGTGAAGACTCCATTTCTAAAAGTTATTTGCCATGGACATAGAGACTAAAGTTCCAGTTCTAGACTGTATTATTCTCAGCTGTTTTAAATATGTTATGAGTGAGAATGAGTTAGCCTTTCTCAGGGTAGCTTGAAAGGTAACATTTTGATAAACATGTAAAACTTATAAATCTCATTTATAATCTCAGCAAACAGTTTGCACTTCCCAGCAAATGCAGATGTGAATCTCCAGCCATCTGTGGGCATAATGATAGTGATCAAGCAGTACTAAATATCAGGGCAGTTGTTAATAACTAATTACAATCAAATTAAAAAACTAATATTCTTATTCATAGAAGAATGTGAAGGAGATCTCTATTTGAAAAGATTGGAAATGAAATAGAATAACAAAGGGTGAAAACTTTGCCCAGGAAACAAACAGAAGCAACCAAGGATTGATAAATGAGTGTTAAAAGCTAAACATATACATAAAAAGTTGGGTCAATTGTCAAAGTGCTTTAATCATTAATCCATCACCAGTAGATACATTGTAAATAACTAAATCATCTCACACAGTGCAAAATAACTCATAAAAATCAATGTAAACGAATCAATGTACACACGTAACTAGTTCATGTACATAAAAATAGAGGTTATCGAAAATTATATTCTACAGTACTAAAAATGTAATGTAAATATAAATCTTGCAACTCTTGCAGGATGCATTCATAGGCATGCATATTGCAACCTGACTTTCAAAGAAAGTTTTTATGAGCTGTCCTCGTGTATGCATAGATCACAGAGTTTGCTGCAGAAAGTTTACCAACTAAAGGTGCGAAAAGTATAGACAACAGCCAGATTTGATAAAGATAATTCTCAAAAATCACTACTATTATCCTTCGTAGCTTGAGCAAATTTCAAATGCTTCATGTGATCGTCAAACGTGAAAATGTTGAAGCATTTAGCAGCAAACAAGCAATCTGCAAAAGGAGAAAATTACAATCCCAGAATACAAGTCTTGATGCATTCTCTAAATTAGTCACAGCATACCTATGAATTAAATTCAAGGGTATGACAAATGACAACAGTTCTACATCTATGGCTATGTCTAAGAGACAGTTTATATTTATAAGGTACATTTCCAAACACAGCAGGTTGAAAGATAACAGGTAAGACAACAACAATAAACCTGAAGTCAGAAGTAGGATGAATTGCACCAGAAATTAGGATGAAAACTACCTAGTTGGTAGATCCAAGAAAATTCTCATGATAGTTTTAATTGGTTGGTAGGGGAAAATTTTCCCTTCCAAATTGTTATAAGCAAAAGTCAATGAGTTCTAAACGTCAATGAGTTTAGCTTATAGTATCAGTACCATGTATTGCATCTCCTACTAAAAATAATGAATCAGTAATAGCAGAGCAGTACAGACTGTTTTTACACAAATTATTCCCAGTTATATGCCCATTTCAGCTGGTATACAAGAAAACCCATAGAAACATACAAAAATGTATATATCCTTGATATAAAATCAAATACTTCAAAGTAAAAGGAAGCAAATAACTTATTAAGTGTAATTAATATTCCCAATTGAAAATATTCTACACAAAATCTAAAGTTCCAAACAAAATCAGGGACTATGACTTAAACCTTGATTCAAGTCATCAAGCTGGCGATTCTTGAAACTTCCGCCACATATCACAATGAGGAGTCTCCTTTATGAAACCCCACTGCTGACGCTGAATCTCTAACCGACAATTCTGCACAAGTATTGACGAGTAATCCTTCTCCACCTGCCTTTCAAGCTTCACTCTCTCCGCACTATTCATCGGATAATCCTGCTCAAACTTGGCTGACTTCACATAATAATTAACACCTCTCTCTGTCGTAAACTTGTACTCATAAGGATACGACCTAGACAGGGCATAAATTGGCTCTGAAGATGGCAAAAATTGCAACAGAATGATAAGAATCACCGGCAATAACTGAATTAACGCTCGTAAATTAAACCCACCAGACCCATGATCAGCCGTTCTGGCCGCCATACCCGGCCCAAAATTAAAATGTCGAAACTGTGTTCTGGCGGGCTGCATCCCTCCAAAGAAAAAGTTCCTAAAAATCTCATCGGCATCAAAATCCGCATCGTAATAACCATTATACCCATGGGCCGCCCGACTGTGTGCCCGTGGTTGGTAAACAGGCTCATCGGACCCGACAAGATCGTATTTTTTCCTATTCTCTTCATTGCTCAGACACTGAAACGCCTTAGAAACTAATTTAAAAGCTTCTTCAGCACCCGGGGCTTTGTTCTTATCAGGATGAACTTTCAGAGACAGTTTTCGATACGCTTTCCGTACATCCTCCACTGAACAGCTCTTTTCAACACCTAAAATATCGTAATAATCTTTCTTTTTCTTAATCTGTCTCACGATCGTGATTTGCTCTTCGGTGAACGCAGCAGCAGATGCAGATGATGTTGATGAAGATGAGGCGGTGGCTGGGGCCCGGTGACGGAGCGAGGGTTGATCGGCCGGTTTCTCCGTCGTCGCCCGCACGGAGGGCCCATTGGGATTTGAATTAGAATCGGATTCGATGGATGAGATGAGATCATCGACGGGGAGAGAGGGGTCGAGTCGTCGAGCTTTGGTGAGAAATTTGAGGGCACGCGCTCGGTCCCCAGATTCGAGGGCTTCTTTCCCGATTCTGAAGCATTTCAACGCATCGTCTTTATTGCCGTCCATGCTTAAAATTGGAAACCAGAAAACCCTAATTTATTATCAATTAGCAATCATGGGATCTGAATTCAAAATTTGATGGAGAGGGTTTGGGCTTGGGGGCAGGAAGAGAGAGAGAGGTGTAGTGGACTAGTCGTTCCTTCTGGTTAAAATAGATTGGCTTATTTATTGATTGGGGTTTGTTTGGGTGTCAATCTTTTAAAGTTAATAGGGAGTTCAGTGTTTGATTAGGTTTAGGGGGTAGCCAAACAAGGCTTTTATAGGTACTTCGGTGATTCGGGAATTATTTACGGGTAACATTGGGATTCCATGGGCCTCTTGAAAAGCTAATTGGGGTAACATTATTTGCAAAAATTTTAAAATAAAGTTTCTGTTCATATAATAAACATAAATAATCAATAAATTTAATAATGCTAAATTTAATAAAACATTATTTTAAAAAATTTAATATTATATACTTAGTATTCTTACTAAAATAGGTCATTAGGTAGTTTTATAGTTGCTTTGGTTTGGTAACAGTGGGCTTCTATATGTTAATCAGCCAAAAATATACATAGAAGAAAAACTAATTGGCGTAACGTTGCTTGCATAAAGAAGATTTTTATTTAGTATATAAATTTTAGAGACTAAATTTTCATAATTCTAACACAAAATCAATAAATTAATCCTTAAATAAAACATAAAAAATATTTTTAACAATTTGTAGTAGAATTACTCCTACTGAGAACACATTTATGGGTTATGAAAGTGCCAAAAAGGCCACAAAATAAAGCCCAAAGGTGGAGTTTGGGCCGGTTATTTGAACATCACAGTTTGAAGTCCCGTTAGGGCAACGAAGGAGAAGCTATGTACATAAACCCTTAAAACAAGTCATCTTCATCAAGTGTTTGACACAGCGACTGATGGAGAATCAAAGCCAGTATGAGGTCGACCTTGGTAATCTCATGGCGTTCAACCCTTCTTACCACTTTCCATCCCTCCCTTCTTCAAGGTTTACTTTCTTTTACTTTTTTTTTCTATTCTTATTTGTCAATTCATACTTGTTCATCTTTATACTCCTATTTTATTAATATCCAAAACCCTGTGTAGTTCTCTTTGTTTTATTTTATCTTCAGTTAGTTTAGTAACTCTATAGTTTCTTTCAGTGCTGTTGAAATACCTTCCCTGAGCTGTATTTAATTTGTTTCATTTTTTATTTAGGGTGTCTCGAATTTTAGGTAAGTGATTAGGTTTCTGTTATATAGGATTTGAATCTAACTTTTTTAAAAATGTATGCAGCGTTTGTTTGACATTCTTGATTAAATCCCTCACTTTTTATTTCCTTGTAAATTTAGGGATTGTACAGGCTAGTTTAATTCATGACCTTTCAAGATTATTTTTGAGAATAAATATGCAATGGCTAGAATTTGATTTGATGAGTGAATAACAACAGTTGCTTTGCTCTCAATTTTTTTAGATATTCAAAGTATATATTTGATTGGGTAGTATATTTGTTTTGAGGAGACTTTATATTGTACATATGTTGATATGCTTAGGGAGGAACTAGTGAAGGAATGTCTGCAGGAGGGCACAAAGTTAGTTCAAGCGATTGCTGACCAACTTTTTAACTTGCCTTCAACTGAAGATATAGATGGACCCCTTGTCAGTTTGCCTCCTCCAACAACAAAATTGCCTAGATCAAAGCATGTAAGGCTTACCTTTTGTTTGGCATTTCTCAATTGTAATTATTTATCTACTTCAGCTTGACTATGTAACCAATACTTCATCCTTTCATACTTTGCTTTCGACGAAAGTCGAAACTTAGTACTGGACCATCATATGTATTGCTGAAAATTGCAAATTTGCTTCAATCTCTTTTCTAGCTCTCATGTTACAAGTAATTCCTGTTTTATTTAATTTGTTTTTGAGGGCATTACATACGTGAGACTAATTGTTAACACACAGAACTTTTTTGATTGGTTATTTGTCCTTTCAGCTTAAAATGCATGGTTGATAGATAGTGAGCCTTACATATATAGGTGTGTAATGCACTCAGTAAAAAATTTCTTCTGAGAGACTCATTATGTGCTGCTCCTTGCTACTTTTGTGCTTGGAGATCTCACTAGTAATGCCACTTTTTAAAATGCACAATGTCTACTGTCTGTCTAGCAAGGGAAAAAACTAAACTGATGCATAGCCACACTTATACACACCTGGTGCTTTGAAGGTGAGGAGCATGAGATTGTGGTCTCCTGTGTTGCCATGAATATAATTTAAAGAATATTCTTTTACTTTGTTGCTTTGTTAACTAATCCAATAGAAAATTTATTGAGGGGATATGTGGAAAAGGCTGTTGGTTAGGGTTTAAAGGTTTGATATTGTGGAGTCTAGACATGTGTGATGGTTTGATTTGAAGATTAGTTTGGTTCTTGGAAGTTGGGGGATTGATTGGGGTTTTAATAATTTGTTTGAGATTTGAGATTTTTTTTTAGATAGAGACATGAGAAAGATATATGAGTGAGAGAGAGAGAGAGTTTGTGATGAAGAGAAAGATGAAAGGGATTAGGAGACAAGAGATGAGATTCGAATGTTTATTTGTAAAAAATCTATAAATGAATAAATTAGGGCATTTATCAAAGTTTTAATGTTTTGATTGAGATTTGAGATTTTTTTTGATAGAGACATGAGAATGAGACTTGTGAGAGACAGTTTGTGATGAAGAGAAAGATGAAAGAGATTAGCAGATTAGAGATGAGATTCAACTGTCTATTTTTTAAAAATTTGTCAAATGAATTAATTGTTAAGATACCCATTATGTTTCTTATTTTAGCTTTAACATCGGTTAAGTTGTTGGATGTCGATGTCACTTTCTGCTACCTATTGCTGCATTTATCACTTTGTGGAAACCAATGTTTTTTATTGTTAATGTTTGTGGTTCTTTTTGGTTCATACTTTCTTAGAACTTAAATGTTTATATTTAGTTTTTTAATTTTCTATGTTTAGCATTAAACTCAGATGCATTTTACATTTTGTTTTCAGCTACCAAAGCCTAAACCTCCCACAAAATGGGAATCGTTTGCCCAGAAGAGAGGTAATTTATTGTATTAATTAACTGTGGTATATATGCTCTTTTTGATTATGAAACTCTTAATCTTATATTCAACCTAAATATATCAAGATCTTGACTTTGGCCTTGAGATTAACAATCTAAAGTATTTGAATGCTGTTGAATCTTGATGTATGCGCAATGTTATATATGAACACAATTGGTTTTGCGATATCTTGCAGGAATAAAGAAGCGTAAAAAGGACAAGGTTGTTTGGGATGAGCAAACTGGTACTTGGAAACGCCGCTATGGTTATGATCGTGTTAATGATGATAAAGATGTACCCATCATAGAGGCGAAGATGACTGATGGTAAGTTTCTATACATAGATAATGTTTGAGTGGCAAGAAAGTTACCAACAATTTGAAAATTGAAATGAATATACCTTTTGTTTTTTGGAATTTCCATTCATGAAAATCATGTCACACTTATTTATTCATTTATGAAATGAATTTTTTGACTCTGAATGTTGCTTTCTACAGAGCCAGGAGAGGATCCTTTTGCTAAGAGACAAGCAGAAAAGAAGATACGAGTTGAAAAGCAAGAGAAGAATCGGATGCAGAACTTGAAACAAGCAGACAAAGTTGGTGCTTTGCCGAGGTTTGCCCTTCCATCTCTAATTAGGGTTTTCTTTGGCATATAAATATTTCTTATTGCTTTCAACTTCATGTTACGTACAATATACTTGCCCAAGCATCGCATTAACTCCCATTTCAGCTTTCATCCATCTAAGATATTTTTATTGATGTTAGTCCCTGGCCACCTTGTCTCAGTTCCCATTCATCTTAACATCCACATGTGGATAAAATCTTATTTGCATTCTTTATTTTAATTGCTGTTTATCTGTTGCTGCTTAACTGCCTCTTGATTCTGCTAGATACCTGCTGTTTCACTAGTATTGTATAGAAAACTTTAAAAAAACTCTTCTGTGCAGCCATGTTCAGCTAGCTGTCACTGCTTTGCCCATAACTGGAACCAAGGCTGTGCCTAAAAAAGTTACCAAACACGAATTAGGAGATGTAGCTGGAATAGTTGCTACTTCAACAGCCAGTGGTGGTAAATTTGATAAGAAGCTACCTGGAGAAAAGGCTCCCAAGAAACAAGGGAAGCAAAGGAAGGTTTGTAGGCTTACTTTTTGCCAGGCAAATGCTTCAATGCTGTTATTTCCAAAATGTTACATGGGAATGAATAATTTTATTTTCTTTTTGGTTTTCATTCAGTTCCTACCGGTTGTGGAAGGGACAGGGATAGGCTCGCAAGAGAAGGAGCAAACTGAGAAGGTTTTGAATAAGTTAATGTCTAAGCATTCACATGAGATACTTAACGTTGATAAGGTACGTTTCAGCCATTCGATAATGGAACCTTTAATTATTGTTGGAGTCAAATGGAAGTACACTCACTTTTTTTACCCATTGGACTTGCTAAATAGGCCATTACCATGTACAACGTGAAGAGAGAGAAGAAACAGAAACACAGGAAAAATGGACAAGAGAAGTCTTCATCAACCTCCAGCAAGTTGAAACCGAAGAATAAACCTAATAAGAAGTCTGTAAAGAAGGGATCATCAAATAAAAGAAAGGCAAAATAAAATTATTAATCAGAAAACACTGTTGTAAGCTTGTAGAGTTTTCTGTTATGTGCTACAAGTTGGCCAATTGGAACAAGTAGGAGTTTTCCATATGAGATTTTTTCTATGTATTCTAAGTCTATTAAGTTGCTTAGTGATTACCGTAGCTCTGTTTCTCTCACAATACGCACTTGCCAAAATACAAGTATTCGGTATTCTTTTGTTGCATCTCATCAACCAATAAAAGGTTAATTCAATTGTCTGAGAATATATTCCATGTTTAGTTAACGTAACCAATGGAAGGATCATGCCATTGTCTGATTAACTTAACCTTTTATCGGTTGTCTACGCAGCGCTCTGCAAATGCAATATATCGAGGGTCTGTTTGGGAGTTGTTTTTCACTGGCTTTGAGGGTTTATTATAACGGTTTTGAAGGGTTTATAGTAGCTGTTTATAAAACACTCAATCTGTGTTTAGGAGTTTATTTTTCAACGGTTCTAACAATTTTTTAAAATGATAAATTTACACATATGCTTATAAAAATAATCCAACTTTAACCAGTATTTGAGAGTTTTGTTTTTTCAATTATAAGGTAAAAGTTTTTTATTTGTTTTTTACTTATTAGTATTTTACAATTTTAAATGTGACAAAGTTTTTTTATCTTCCTTTGTCATTCTTTGCAGTATCTGAAATGATCGAAAAATTAAAACTCTATTTCTCCAAGAAAATATCTAGGAATGAGATTTTAATAATAATTTTTTTTTATGATTACTTAAAATTATTTTATATTTAATATGGTTAAAGATGTGTATAATATGATTAATTTTTTTTTAATATAATTAAGATAATTTTATAATAGATAGGGTATTTATAAAATAAAATTTTAAAACCAACTAAAACACCTTAATTTAGAGTATTTTATAAATCCTTCAAAATATATTACACTCATTTTTTTAATTTTTTGAGCCCAATTAAAACCAATACATACAAAATCTGAGAATTAATAAACGCAAACTCCCAAGCGGACCTGAGAGGGCTGCCCACTATCAACATGCAGCATGAAACGAATTACGTGCAGGAGAAACAACCCTCGGGCTTCAAGCCATTCTGTATATGGCCCAAAATCATTTGATCCACTTCTAGACAAAAATATCAATTTTATCTGAACCTTGTGGCACCGACGGCAGGTATCTCGTTGAGAGAAAATGCAGACAAATAGGGAGGAAAAGGATAATCCGCATCCTTAGTAAGAAATTGTATGTGATGGAACATTTATTGAAACAATACTATTTCACAAGCAATAAACAACCTTTTCCAAAATAGCTTTTCAAAATTTTTTAATGGACAAGATTGGTCAAAGATTATTTACTTTTAATTTAATATAAATTAGAAAAGTAGTGCCACGAAGCTTTACTTATATATTCTGGTCAATTTCAATGAGCTGCCATGTAAAGCTTTGCATTCATTCCCTCTGGCTCTTTGCCTATATCTCTTTTTCCTTTTTGTAAATTTTTAATTGGGTTAAAGAAATATACACTGTCTCAGTACAAGCGAATACAAATTCTGCCTCTCTTTCCCACCAGGGAACACCTTTTGGACAGGGAAGCAAATACATCAGCCGTTCCTTCTCTTCTTTCTGCTTTAACTGTGCAGAGAGATGGAAAGGAAAAAAGAATCTTCTTAGCTGTATCATGTTCANGCGAATTAAAACCAATACATACAAAATCTGAGAAGTAATAAACGCAAACTCCCAAGCGGACCTGAGAGGGCTGCCCACTATCAACATGCAGCATGAAACGAATTACGTGCAGGAGAAACAACCCTAGGGCTTCAACCCATTCTGTATATGGCCCAAAATCATTTGATCCACTTCTAGACAAAAATATCAATTTTATCTGAACCTTGTGGTACCGACGGCAGGTATCTCGTTGAGAGAAAATGCAGACAAATAGGGAGGAAAAGGATAATCCGCATCCTTAGTAAGAAATTGTATGTGATGGAACATTTATTGAAACAATACTATTTCACAAGCAATAAACAACCTTTTCCAAAATAGCTTTTCAAAATTTTTTAATGGACAAGATTGGTCAAAGATTATTTACTTTTAATTTAATATAAATTAGAAAAGTAGTGCCACGAAGCTTTCCTCATATATTCTGGTCAATTTCAATGAGCTGCCATGTAAAGCTTTGCATTCATTCCCTCTGGCTCTTTGCCTATATCTCTTTTTCCTTTTTGTAAATTTTTTATTGGGTTAAAGAAATACACACTATCTCAGTACAAGCTAAATACAAATTCTGCCTCTCTTTCCCACCAAGGAACACCTTTTGGACAGGGAAGCAAATACATCAGCCGTTCCTTCTCTTCTTTCTGCTTTAACTGTGCAGAGGGATGGAAAGGAAAAAAGAATCTTCTTAGCTGTATCATGTTCATGGCACCTGTCTTGTAATTCCGTGTACCAAATGTTGTTTCCTGCCAATTTAGTCGGATAACCATTGGAGTTTTCTTTTTTAACCACCCATTTCCGTAAAATTGACTCCTCTTCTTCATCAAACGTCAAACTATTAGAATTTTATACACACTAGTAGTTCAGTCATATCTGAAACCAGAAGAACCCGGCAGAGTTTCAGGCTTTCTGTTAGGAATGTCTAGAACAAATTTACAAGCTGTTCAATACAATAACAAAGATGTTGTTTTCTCTAGTTCTGGAATTAAGCTTCAATGTAGTTCTGAAGAGATTAATAGTTTCAGAGACGGATTTTTTGCAAGTGTAGGCCAAGCAGGAATGGGGTTTGGGATTTCATCACCCGACCCTGTAAATTCATTAGAGAGTAGTACAAAACTTCCAAGTCCTAATGTACACGCAAAATATGTTTCAATGCCTCAACCGACTTTTAGCATTGATAGGATTCCACACCTGGTGTTACGTGAGGTATTGGAGGTTGGTGAGAAGGTTGTTAAAAGGAAAGGTGGGTTTAAACTGCGAATTAATATTGGAAATCCGTCGTTGAGGAAGCTGATCAGTGGAGCAGTAGCCGGCGCTGTGTCTCGCACTGTTGTGGCTCCATTGGAGACTGTAAGAACACATTTGATGGTTGGAAGTTGTGGGAATTCTGCAGGTGAAGTGTTCGATGCTATCCTCAAGATTGATGGTTGGAAGGGCTTGTTTAGAGGCAATTTGGTTAATGTCATCCGGGTTGCGCCAAACAAAGCTATTGAGGTTTGTGATAAAGGATTCTATGTTATATGTTTCAATATTCATGTTAATTTTCTGACTTGTTGGATTCCTGTGATTTTTTTTTTTTTGGAATTTTAGATTACGTTTTACTCTTGTTTAAAATTCTGTCCTGGTTCATTGGGTCTTTGTGTTGCTTAGACCTGGTTTGTTTCCCAGTGGATATTCTAGTGATTAATTCTTGCAAAATCAACGGCATCAATTGAATCCAGTGGTTGTGCTTGGGGTGGGATAAGATGCGGTGTGTGGTTAAGAAATGAGGAGAAAGATCGATCTTCAAACTGTTTACTGCCTACTGATTTGAGTCCGACTTTTAATTGACCACTTTGGTAGTATCTTATGTTGTATTTCAGTACCGTCTGCAGGTCTATTATTGGGTTATTGTCTGTCAAAATCTTGTTTCGGGTATGAAACAACTAAATGTTCTAAAAAATGGACCTCATGCAGTTATTTGCTTACGATACGGTGAAGAAGCACTTGGCGCTTAAACCTGGGGAACAGCCAAAGCTTCCGATTCCCGCTTCATCAATTGCAGGTGCTGTCGCTGGTGTCAGCTCTACCTTGTGCACGTATCCTCTCGAGTTACTCAAAACCCGAGTAACAGTCCAGGTCAACTCAAGCCTTAAGCAGCATTGATTAACTCATTAACATGTACTATTTTATGCTCGGTTAACTCTTATCACGTTACTGAACTTTAATCTGATTGTAGAGAGGATTGTACAAGAATCTTTTGGATGCATTCTTAAAAATTGTGCGGGAAGAGGGACCTGCGGAGCTATACAGAGGCCTCACCCCGAGTCTAATAGGAGTAGTTCCATATGCTGCTACCAACTATTTTGCTTATGACACATTACGAAAAGCTTACAGAAAGGCTTCTAAGAAGGAAGAAATAGGAAATATTATGACACTTCTCATCGGATCAGCGGCTGCTGCCATCTCAAGCACTGCAACTTTCCCTCTAGAGGTGGCTCGGAAATACATGCAGGCTGGAGCTCTCAACGGAAGACAGTACCAGAACATGCTTCATGCTCTTGCAAGCATCCTTGAGAAGGAAGGTCTCCCAGGTCTGTATAAAGGTTTGGGGCCAAGCTGCATGAAATTGGTCCCTGCAGCTGGGATTTCTTTCATGTGCTACGAGGCATGCAAGAGGATATTAATTCAGAAAGAAGCTACAGATTTGAAAGAGACTAACGCTTTAGTTTATAAATGAGAAGGAATTGTTTTATAATTTCTTTGAGAGAGAACCAAGTTATTGTAATAGGAAAATGGTTTAGCCATAGTTCTAAGTTAATGTAGCTTTTGGCGATTCAGATTATACATGGTCTGTTCGTAGTTATAGTTATAAATATGAAGTTGGTCAGTAGCAAGAACTCTTGGAAGAACGAAGCCTGATAACAAACTTAGCAGGCAACAACGTGAAGCAGAAAGTTATGCAGTGAACTCATTTCGTGTTATGTTCTAATTTTCTGGTGTCTATTAGCTAAACTGGGCGAATGGTCCACTCTTTTACATTCTCAATGAATGATGAAACCAAGTTCCAACAAAACGCATCATATGTAAAAGTTATTGAGGCAAAGTTGTGAGAATACAGCAAATTGCTGAGTCTTCTTTTACATTCTCAATGAATGTTCCGCCTTTCAAACTTGTCAGATTCTGAAATCCCAAAACAGAGTGATCATCCTTGGACCAATTTTCCTGTTCATGACACTCGTTGGAACTTTCCTATTATTGAAATGTGATTACGCCGTCACTGTTGCTTGGCCAATACAACAGCACAAAGCTCCATTACAACAGAAGTTCAGAACACTATTGCAGATAGGATAAGTCCATAACAAACAAAGAAGATTAAATCAATAATGAATTAACAGAGTGCACAAAGAGGATGATGAATGAAGCAAGTCTTATAGACAACTGTTGCCGATACCATCAGAACACTAACAGCACATTTAATGTACTTAGCGACATTGAAGAAGGTAAATGGAGAAAAGAATCAGTTAATATAATTGAATTTTGAATGGTAAACATATGGTGTCTATAGGTGCTTAAGTTCAAATCTTCACAATTACCAAACCAATTGGGACTACAATACCTAAGATACCCCACAACCAAGAAACTAACTAAATTAAGTGCCTTCACTGGCACTGGAGCATGAACACCAAAGCAAACCAGATACCAATAGATAACTAACTGCCTTTCAATTCTGCTCTTCGGCTTCTCCAGCTTCCCTCTCCTCAGCAGCAGCTGCCATCAGCTCATCGAAGTTTGCAGTCTTCTCCAGCAATATTTCAATCTGAGAGGGAAAATTATAACTCCATACATGAGACATTCAAGGTGATATTGACAGGAAAGCTCAATATTAACTATGGATGAAATAAACATCAAAATTGTATGTATGAATAGTGTGGAAGGAAAACGCTACTGATGACACAAGAACCACCAAATATATTATATAAAAGTAATATCCCAACGTATAAATACTGGGTCAAAATAAATCACAAAGCAAAATTAGAGTATTTTTGGATAAGGAAAAGCGGATCATCAATGAAAACTTAGAACATCCAAATCAGTCTTTTTTTGCAACTTGCAAAGATGATCAATATAGGGAGGATCTTAACTGCAGCATTTCAAATTGTATGCATGTTATATTATAAACCATAAAGCGCAGACAGGTATTGAATTAATTACCTTGGCTTTCTGGACAGATCGCCCTCTTGATTCATCCTTCATATCCACTGTTGAGGTCATGATCTCTACAAAGAGTGCATAACATAAGTACAGACATCGAGACTTGATAGCTGGACTAAGAATATGTACAATATAGGGAAACAGATAATCATACTCTTCTCAACAGCCAAACCATTGTTTTTCAGAATTTCTGCAACAGTGACAACTGTGGCAATGGCTGCAGATACAAGAAGAAAATTATAAAATGTTCAAGACTGGATATACCAACATGAAAAACTAATTAGGTCACAACAATGTAGAGCACAAAATAAAGTCAAATTTATGCCAAAACAAAATTTACTAAACAAACTTAATTTACCCAAAGAGTAAACCACATCCGTGTAGAATGGTAAAGAAGAGCAAATGATACAACACGGTTTGATATTTAAGAATGCGAGAGGGATATAAAATGGTCGTATGACCATATCGAAGAGTAAACAACCAATGCACATAGTAACTAATAAAGTAATTACCCATTCCAAGAGCGGAGAGTTCCACCTCATTGTGCTGCTGCATGTATCTCTGCAACCAAATATTAGACACAAATTATAAATTTGAACACAAAAATTATACCCACAATCAGTAAATTAGATACACAACTAATCATATTATCAATTAGATATACCCCAGATCCCTAAAAAGGGTAAAACCCTAAACCTCTCTTAGGTCTCAACAGAAAGCTCTAGAAACAAAGAGAAATTTAATCCCATATCGGATTTCTTTCCATTTATCACTCAAACTTCCAAAATAACAAGGCCAATCAAATCAATAGCTTACAACTGAGCATGGTTAAAATCTAAATGCTAATAAATTTCTTACAACAGAACAACCCCAATCGAGTAAAAACATGTACAATCATAAAGATAAAATTATTATTAAAAAAAAAATACATACCTTAGCGAGATTAACGTAAAAGAACAAGGGTTTCTTAGTGTTGGAGACTTGAATCCGATTTTTCTTGATTAAATCAGCGCTTAAGTTGATATTGTTAACTCCATCTGTAACCTCTTCCATGATAGAGCTGAAAACGAAAACCGAAAGCCAAAGTGTATGTTGAAGGTCAAAATAAAAGATCGAAAGATGGTTTTGGTGAGAAAGATATATTTCTGTGAGTTCTTAAGCGGTCGGTAGTCTTTCTGAACTGGGGCTGGGCTAGGGTTTGTTTCTTCTTGTTATTAGATTAATTAGGATGTTTATTCTTTTGGGTAATATTTATTTAGTTTAAACTGAAAAACTATATATTACTTTTACATATATGCCATTATCATTTCGAACCTGTGAAATTAGTAACATTGGATTGTTGATAGGATTTTCATTATTTATAATAAGAATAAATTTAAATTCATCCCAATGTTTTTAAGATGACATATAACATTCTATTTTTTTTTTTTAAATGATCGGAGTATCGGGTTAATCTATATACACGTCAACTAATCTCTTCAGACTACAAAATTATTAATCGGATAAAAACTTTTATAATTACCCCTATTAATAACGATGAAAGAACTCGAATTAAATACCTCTTACTGATACACTCAAGAATCTTCATTGAATCACTTAAATACCTCTTACTGATACACTCAAGAATCTTCGTTGAATCACTTATCACCGGAGATTGTTAATATTCTAAATTCGGTACCCTCCATTCACTTCTAATTCAATAAATCAAAATACTTAGCAAATATTTGTTTATATTTCAAGTTTCAACAATTACTATCGTCTGTCAGTTTTAATTTTTGTTCCAAGAAAAATCCTTTAATACACAAAAATAATACCCAACGAGATATAAATACTAAATATGACTACTTAAGAATGAAAATTTATTAATAAAAACATTTTATCTTCATGCTCTTTTAATAATCTAAAATTCTCTAACAATAAACTATATTATTACCATGGCTGGGTCAGGCCAACGCAGCAGAATAAAATCAAAGTTCCATATCAGGCCATGGCAAAATTGAAGCCTAGCAAATGTTGTGAAAACTAAAAAGCATTCATCCTTGTTAAGCCAATGGCAGAAGAATTAACAGTGTCTAACCTTCCAAACATAGAGAGAATATCTTCAGAGTAAGAAACCACCTATTTTTTACAAAATGCTACAAATATTCAAGCATCCCTTTAGACTCTTACAAAATGCAAATTTCAAAAGCTGTGTATATCAAATCTACCTCCAGACGTGAGATAGATAGCAGCCCTAATCCCAACCACTGGCAACCACTGACCCAACATTGAGATAAGGGTAAGCATCCGAATTAGCTGGAAGAGCATAATACTCGGTATTATAATCAACAGCATAGAATTCACCATGAGCAGTAGCAGAATCATCAGCAGATTGAGTAGAACAATACTCAGTATTATAATCAACAGCATAGAATTCACCGTGAGCAGTAGCAGAATTATCAGCAGCTTGAGTAGAACAATACTCAGTATTATAACCAACAGCATAGAATTCACCGTTAGCAGTAGCAGAATTATCAGCAGCTTGAGTAGAACTATCAACGCCATAATACTCACTATAACCAACCGCACTAGAAGGAATGGAACTTCTTCGGAAGTCATAGCCACCAAATTTGTTGCTATGTCCATACCTGCTGCCTTGACCACGGCCACCACAAGGAGAATTCTCAGCATACTCGCTCAGCCAAGAAGGAACTTCCTGTTTTGCTTCGTTCATTAGTTCAACTAGTGGCTTTGCTAGTGGCAGTTTCTTGTCACTGAAGAATGCAGTGGCCAAGCCCGAATTACCAGCACGGCCAGTGCGGCCTATCCTGTGAACATAGTCATCGATGGCTTTCGGCAAGTCGAAATTGATCACATGGGCAACGCGTGGTATGTCCAGACCCCGTGAAGCAACATCTGTTGCTACTAAAATTGGAGTGGAGCCTCTTTTAAAAGACTTGAGTGCTCGCTCCCTCTCCTTCAAATTCAACAAGTGAATATTACGAAAAACAGTGGAGTATGTGGTGAAATCAGACCAAGGTATTGTGATAAGCTACTTTACTGTTAATTCTCGAGGAAAAAATAAACAAATATATAGCAAATATAATGAAATTAAACCTTAAAAGATATGAAAAGTCTGCCATCAACATGTGATTTAACAGAGGAATTCCAACAAAAAATGCTGAAAGTGATAATTCTTTACAAACATAAGACTAATTCCATATCCCTCGAAATTAGTTTTTTACCACTTGAGGTATTCTCTCAAACCCATCTACAATATTCTCTCAAACCCATCTAAGAACTCTTCTCGTACTCTTCTCATTTGGTTACAGAGAGAGAGAAAATTTGTTGCTATGGAGATTGACATGGAGCTCTAGAAAAGTAGAAATCACAAGATGAATCCAATGGCCTTGGTGAGGATTCGTCACATGGTCTGTTACATGGTTTGTTCTATTGTTTTTCCTTTATATATAGGAATTATTTTTTGTATTCAGAGTGAGTGTGTGAGAGGTGAGGCAAGGGTCATTACGGGTGGTTTCACTGAGGGGAATATCCTGGGTTTATCTTGTATGCTAGGAAATGCCATAAACTCTGTAAGATTTACCATTTAATGTTAATTCCTTACTGTTCTGAAGAGTGGATGTAGGTAATCAATCTGATTACTGAATCACTATAATTTTTTGTGTTCTTTTTCTTTACTGTTATGCTTTATTTTTCATGCTTTCATTTTTAATTGTTGCGGTTGATTTTGAGATTAGAAATCTTGGGTCTCTTGTTCTACCTTGATTGAATAGTCTTGAGATTTAACACCACTCAAGTACAATATTAACCATACAACTGGTGGAGAAACTTGAACCTGATAAGAGAGCAAAGATACAAGGAAAAGAAAACGGCACTAAGCCAACATCGGCAAACAGTGCAAGAACACAGGTTCACATTCATGGAGCTCATATTTTAAACAAAATTGAAATGCCAAAAGCAAGAAAAAGGAAAGGGAGAGAGAAGACTTTATACCCTTTGTACTTTGTCACCATGTATTGCTATAGCTGGAAAACCTTTCATCAATAACCAGTGTTCTAATGCATCTGCTCCTCTCTTCGTCTCCACAAATACTAGCGTTAAGGATGGCTGCAACATCCAATTGGCAACACTTGCGTAAATCAACAAACTAGAAATAAAATAAAATTCTAGTTTGCTGTATGTCAAATTCAAATATGTATATATACTCCCTCATTACACAAAGGTGCATGAAACAAAAACCAGAATTTTTCTGTTGCCAAAAACCAGAGGTTCATGTTATTTGAACAATCAGACAGCACAGATACCTTGTCACGAGTTCTATTAGGATTCTGAGAACAAAGAAGATTCAAGAGATGGCTTCTTTTGTCCATATCCTGAACAAATTCAACCCTTTGTGCTATCAAATCAATGCTAGAACCAACTTTTCCAACAGTTAGAAATATGTAATCCGACAGAAAATCAGATGCCAGTCTCTGCAAAGTACAACAAAGAAGTGAGGGCAGCCACAAGAGAATCCATTCTAAACAGGTGTAAGTGTCGATGATCTGAACTATTAACTCCAGCTTTCAAATGTAAAAGTTTATATTGAAATAATCTACAGAGTAATACGAAATCAAACATGTAAACACACACAAATATCAAACTAGTAAAGAGAAAGAAAAACATACGCAATTTATTACATCCAACAGAGTCAATATTATTAGAATATTGGAACCCCCGAATGCATCTGTCTCACCCCTTTTGTTGAAGTGGTCAACAACTCCAATATGTATGACTAAACAACTTATATAATGTAAAAAGCACAAGGTATTCAAAAGATAATTCTAAGAGAAAAAAATTCTGCGACTGCCATAGAAAAGATTATTAACTCATATCTATTTGTATTTCGAAAATTAGTGGATCGTAAACTTGTACATTTGATTTCGCAAAAGCATTAATCATACAAATAAAGCTTCTAAGTTTGTAAATAATAATATTTTATCTCTACTTAGAGGAATTGCATAAAAAAAAAAAAAGAAGGGTCAGTTTAATGAATAAATATCCAAGAAACCAAATTGAATAGAAATCAAGCTTGTTATTATAGTGTAATAAAAGCAAAGAGCATAAAATAATAATATTCAGAAGTCTTGAGGCTATTAGTTCAAATTTAGAAAATACTTTTAGAATAATATTTGAAGACGTAGCACAAATTTGGTCAGAATTTAAAAAAAATAAAATAAAACAGTATGATACCAAATTATACATAATCATTTAATCAAACTAATTTTTACAACATCATATATTTAATTGCATGTCACAGTAATGGAATGAATAGAATTCTCTTGGCCAACATTAACCAAAAGCGCAAGTAATTGCTACCTTTAAAGGTACTGAATATCACTCATATGCTTCTACAATGTGTAAAGCATTATGAGCACCCAAAAGGCATGGCATAATTAGGGGAGGAATCAATTAACCTGAATCTCATCCGGAAATGTAGCACTGAAAAGCATTGTCTGCCTTGCCCCCGGGGGCGGCATGTCCATTTGCTCGACAATCTTCCTTATCTGATGCTCAAATCCCATGTCCAACATTCTGTCAGCCTCATCTAAAGCAAGATACTTAATCATTTTAAGAGAAACTCTTCCTCTCTCAATCATATCCACCAATCGTCCAGGAGTAGCAACTAAGAGATCAACACCCTTTTCCAAATTATGGAACTGCATCATCAAAAAATATGCAAGGGACAATAGCAACAGTTAAATTATAAGTTTATGCTTATCTAATGCAAGAACTATTGATATCATGCAAAATACTAATAATAATAATACAAAGTGCAAGCTACTAGAAACAATCGAGGGAGTAGAGAATTCATCAATTTCTTCATGTAACAAGAACAATTGTAGCTTAATTAATAAAAATGAAAGAGCATAAATAGAATTAACCCATGGATTATGGTTAAAAGACAGCTATATGCGTAGCGTACACCTGGGCGGCCCAAAAACATAAAAAATCCACTTCAGGGAAGTTATTTATTTTCAATTAAGTACATACAGGAATTATAAATTTCCGTTTTGGAGAAAACACGAATCAATGATATCAAACACACCATTCAAACTTTTATGTCTTCATTTACCTATTGATAATCAGCAAACAAACAGAATCATGCAACTTCGTTCATGATATGACAAGAAATCAATATACTGACGCAAACATGTATCAGCACTCGATATATAGCTTAAAAAAGTGCCGATTACCTCGATAATAATAGTTAGAAATTTGTACACAAGCACTCTTAATCAGCATAATGTTAGTATGACGTGGACACAAACAACAAACCTGTTGACCGATGGACGCCCCTCCATAAGCGACAACAATCCTGACCCCTGTGCGGTGAGCAAACTTGTTCGCCTCATCGTGTATCTAATCAAAGAATATGGAAATAAAAACAAGTATAAGAAAAAGGAAAACCCAAATGCATTAAACATTAAAAAGGAAAATTCCACGAAACCAAATCCACCTGACAAGACAACTCTCTGGTAGGAGATAAAATAAGAGCAGTCGGGTAAGCAACCTTGACCATACCACCACCAGGAACGACCAGTTTAAGACGGTCTCTCATAATCCCACAAATAATCGGGAAACAAAACGCAGCCGTTTTGCCCGACCCTGTCTGCGCACACGCCATCAAGTCACGCCCAGCAATGGCTATTGGTATGGCGTGGCGCTGAATGGGCGTTGGCTTCACATACTTACACCTCTTTATATTTTGCTGCAAAGCTTCACACAAATCAATCTCAACAAAACTCGATACCGGTTTTGGTATGTCCGAGCCGCTAGCCTCCACTGGTATATCCTCATATGCGTCAAAGTTGATTGCGTTATCATTACATTGATCATCTTCTGTTACCTCTACTTTCTCAAACTTGTCAGCGATGTCAAATGAGTTTGGGTTTGGGCCGCCCAAAAATGAGTTGCGTCCACGGCCACCGCCACGTGTCCGAGAGGAACGACCGTGTTCATTTGGGTTGAAACGGGGGCGAGAAGGTGTTGGGTGGGTAGGGAAGTTAAAAGAGGAAGGGTGATCGTAGTTGAGATGAGAGACGGCATTGTTGTAGGTGTGCCTGAGGTGGGGTGGTATGTAGGTGGGTCGAGGCGGACGAGTTGGGTGCGTGAGATTACGCGTTGACTCATCTACTACATCAACCCAAGACATAGCTACTGTGTATTAATATTAATGGTTAAAAGCTTGAAACGAAAGCAGAGAGCAGAAAGCAAGCATGTGTGTGCAGAGCGGAAGCGATGGATTTCAGTATTGAGAAAGATGAAAAGGGTGTTTGGATATGTTACAGTGCAGAGTAGTGCAGACAATGAGAAGGAGTTGGACGAGGAAAAAGGCGCTGATATAATATAAAATATAGTACCGGGGATGGAGAGAGAATATGTAAAGGTTATAAGGTGAAAAGTGTGTAGAGTGCAGTGTAGCTCCAATCAGAAATGGAGAGAGAGAATCAGAAAGATACACGATTCACGAGGGAGGGAAATGCCATATCTTCCGAGAGACTAGGAAGAATAGGGAAGGGCCAAAATATGTGTTTATATTAATTCACTGAGGAGCTCAAACGCCCAACTCGAATTCAAAATAAAGTACATCATTATACAAAGAGAATATATGTGTAAAGGCCATATTCTTTGTGTTGTCTTGTGTGTTCATTTAATACACGTGCTAAAGCTAAACCAACTACACCACACGGTCCACACCAATTTGTGTTTGGGCTCAACATTTATCAACTCCAGTAACCATTACCATCATCCTAATATTGAAATAATGTTACTAATATTCCACATAATCTACTTCTTTTATTATTATTGTGCCGGATTTAGTCTACCTGCTGCCATCGCTCATTAAAGCTAGGGTGGCGGTTTCATCTCACCATCCTATCAACTGACAATGTTCAAATGTTCAAAATTTGTTTTTTTCTAAGTAAAACTCAATCTGTCAAAATATACCCTGCTACAAATACAATATATCAGTAGTAATTTATATACGGGCATGAACTCATCATATTCAATGCCAAAACCATTGAATATAATCAATATATACATCAACGGTTTCATTCTCAATAAATTAACATGATCTTTTCTCAAAAATGTAGACATTGTGGACCACGAGTGGCACATATATACAACAGGAGTTTTATTGTGTTGATGCCTTTTTTCGCACCAACAATATGTATGCAAGTCAAGAAGTTTACGTAAAAGGTTTATAAAAGACCGTGAAATAGTAAATATGATACTAAACTCATGGGTTTAAGGAGATGTTTATAAATAGAGTAAATGAAATACTTGAACAATAAATGTGTAAAAGGAAATAGAAAATAGACAAAAGTAATTTTTAAAATGGTTCGAATGCACAGCAATTTCTACATCCACGGTTATTTATTGTTGTGATTACACAAAGAAGTTGCTCTAAAGAGACTATTGTTGTAGTGCTCTTATGGTTAAAAAGATGTTGTATATCCTTGGTTTGGGGTGGGAACCCCCTATTTATAGTATTCTGAGGATGATCTTAGGTGCGAATTAACCTTCATGCATCGCAACACACGGCCAAGATGACATCGTAGCTTGAAATTTTACTGGTGAAGTAATCTTTTGGAGTCCTATACATAAAGTAGTCATTTGATGGAGTGACACACGGCATGGTGATAATGCACTTTAAATCTTACCCCTGAATTAATTCTCTCATGGATTGACACACAAGTTGGAGAGATTCGACACGAAGTGGATTTACTGCCCAACGCATTGCATGTCGTTTGAGTCAAACGAGTTTTACGCTAGTGGGGGGAGTAGAGATTCAAATGAGGAAGGAAAAATATTAAAATGTAATTTAGTTTAAAATGTTCATAAAACAGTAATGACAATCATAAATGAAAATTACGCACACCCAATTGTGATCTCCATGTAATGATTTCAATTTGAATACCACAAATAAATAATTTTTTTATTTTTTAGATATTTTATTTTTTTTTATCTTTTTTTTTTTTATTATTTTTTTTTTTTGTTTTTTATTTTTTATTCTCATATAATATAATTTTTTTTTCTTTAATATTTATGGTTGTTTTTTTCTTTTTTTTTTAATTTTTATTTTTATTTTTTTATTTTTTTATTTTATTTTTTTTTTTCTTTGTCTTTTTTTTATTTTTTATTTATTTTTTTTATTTTTTTTTTTTTTTTAATTTTTTTTTTTTTTTTTTTTTTTTTTTTTTTTTTTTTTTTTTTTTTTTTTATTTTTTTTTATTTTTTATTTATTTATTTTTTTTTGAGTTTTTTATGAATTTTATTATATTTTTTTATTTTTATTTTTTTTTTTATTTTTTTTTTTTTTTTTTTTATTTTTAGTTTTTTCCTTTTTTTATTTTTGTTTTTTTTTTTTGATTTTTTTTTAATTTTGTTTATTTTTTTTTTGTTTTATTTTTTTTTTTTTTTTTTTTTTTTTTTTTTTTTTTAATATATTATTTTTTTTTTTCTTTTTTTCTCTCATTTTTATTCTTCTTTTTTTTTTTTTTTTTATTTTTTTTTTTTTTTTTTTTTTTTTTTTTGTTTTTTTTTTGTCTTTTTGGATCTTGTTATTTCTTCTTTGTTTTTTATTGTTTTTCTTCTTTTTTATTTTTTTTTTTTTTTTTTTTATTTGTTTTTGTTTTTAATATTTTTTGTTATTTTTTTTTTTTTTTTTTTATACTTGGGTATGTTTTTTAATTTTTTTTTTATTTTTTTTTCTTTTTTTTTTTTTTATTTTAAACATGTTGTTTATTTTGTTTCTTTTTTTTTTTTTTTATTTTTTAATTTTTGTTTTTATTTATTTTTTTTTTTTTTTGTTTTACTTTTTTGTTTTTTTTCTCATCATGAGTTGTCTCTCGCCACATCGTATGGGCACCCCCGTAAGAGTGCAAGGCATTTAGATTCCCTTCATCGCTGGCATGATGGTCCCGACCATCACCGCGAGGGAAATGCCCACCATACACGGGTCAGTTCTGACCACTGTAGAGGTCGAGATAGCTCCCCTAATCGTTTAGTGCCTACACATGGCTCTAGCTAGTGTGTGTCAAGTCATGCTAAAGGCTCTGGCCTAGTTGAGGAAGAGTCTGACTTGCGGTCTTTCCTCAACCGCAATTGTGAGGGTCAAACCCACGTTACAGAAAGTGATCCCTAGGTAGTTCCGCTTCCTCAGATTAAAGAGTTATAGCGAGCTCTAGATCAGTTTAGAGCTCAGCAGAATGAGCACAGGTGAGCCGCTAAAGCGTCCCCTTTTTCTCCAATAGTGTTAGCTGCTCATCTCCCATCAAGATTTATAATGCCTAATATGCGAGCATTTGATAGGAATTCTGATACGCAGGATCACCTTTATGAGTTTAATGACCTCATGGAGTTTCACCAAGTTTCTAGCTTGGCCAAATGTCATTATTTGGTAGTGACTCTGATTGCCCATGTCAAGCGTTTGTTTAGATTTCTCTCGTTATGATCTATCAACTCGTGGCAGTAGATGAGTTCATTATTATTGAGACACTTTTAGGCTAATAGGAAATTCTCAATGTCATTTAACTATCTGAGCAAAATACGGTAGAAGAGGAATGAGTCTCTCCAGTCCTATATTGACAAGTTTCATAGGGAGCTACATAAGGTGGCTAATACACCCGAGGAGTCAGTTGGGACTCTCATTATTACAGGGGTTCGTTCGCAAATTGACCTATGGAAAAAGCTGCAATCTGAGAATGACATTTCCCTCACCTGCTTCTACAATTTTACTGAGAAGTACCTCCGAATCAATAATTTCATGGTTACTTTAAATCGCCACAACCTTGATTCTTCAACCAGTGCCCCTAGCTAGGGGGAAGAAGGTTGGGGGGAGAATAGTAGGAGAGTTGATCGTAGATGGGCTAATGACGATCAGCGAAAAGGAAAGAAACAATGGTTTGAGCCCAAGAAATCTTATGCACAAGTCTCTCATCGCGATCGCGACAAGAATCAGTATATTTCTTTGAATGCATTGGTATCAGCTATTCTAGACCAGTCAGAAGAAGCTAGTATGTCGGAGAGCCAAAGCCCATGAATAATCCCCCTTCAACAAGGAACAGCAAGAAATATTACCGTTATCATCGGGATAATGGGCACTATACTGATGAATATCGGGCTCTCAAGCAAGCAATCGAAAACCTCATTAAAAATGAGCACTTTAAGGAGTATGTTGATGGTCAAACTCCCATTCAAGAGAAGGATCAAGGGGACGGGCGAAAGAAGTGTCGTGGTTGCAAAGGTCTCCACCTTGTTGGGATCATATTTGGAGGACCACATCTCACAAGGAATTCTTGAGGTGCTTAGGAGAGGTATGCTCGGGAGTGTGATGATCACGGCTTCGCGACCCACTAAGGTACGTAGAGAAGAAGAGATTACCTTCTCAAAGAAAGACGTGATACGATTGCATCACCCTTATGAGGATGTACTCTTTATCTCACCTAAAATAGGTCGGTGCGAGTCCACATGATGTTGGTGGACAATGGTAACACTGTGAATATCCTATTTCAACGAGCTTTTGAGGAAATGCAACTAGACGAGGTAGATCTAAAGCTTGCCTTTATCCTTCTTTATGGTTTTACTAGGGATCACCTAATTCCCAAGGGAATGATTGCACTTCTTGTCACTTTGGGTAATACCCACGAGGTGACCAAAATGACCGAGGTTTTAATGGTAGACTGTCCGTCCGCTTTCAACGACATTTTGGGATGATCTCTACTACGGAGTTTCAAAGCCGCCACCTCCATCTATCATCTAAAGATGAAATTTTTTACTCCGACAGGGTGCGAGGAAGTTAAAGGATCTCGAAGTGAATCCCGCGACTACTATGTAAGAGCAGTGCAGATGGCATGCAAAGGGAAATGGAGGCTAGTGGGCATTCCCGAATATGCTATGGTGATCAACATGATCGAACCACAGCTGGGTCAGTGGAAGACAACATAGATCCTTGTGTTTAGAAGGAGTATTCCCACAGTGGACCTGTTGAGACTCTATCTGAGGTATCGGTCAACCAGAATGAACCGACTCGGGTGTTGAGAATCGGAAGCAATCTCAGCCCTAACTCACTACCAACCTAACGAGCTTCCTCAGATAGAATATTGATGTTTTTGCATGGACTCATGCTGACATAGTTGGGATCAGCCCGGATGTGATATG